ATGTACAAATGCGCTTTACACAATTGATGTATGTATGGATTGTGATAAGAGTTGTATGAGCCCCTAATAAAATGATTTAAAAAGAAAATAATTACTTTATAACGTGGTCATTACAAATATTATTTTCCCATTGTAAATACAGCTTAACCACATTTCCAAAAAGGTAGAGTATTAAAGCAAATCCCAATCTTACTTTAAACACAATAATATGTTATACTTTGAACTGATATCAACAGTATTTGAAGTTTATTTTGTGAAACATTTTAATTGTCTATGAACCTTGCTCTTTTTACTAATTATCTTTTTAAAAATTGTATGCATAAACAGACATGAGTTTTAAATAGTACTTTGTGGAGACATAATCCACATATGATAAAACTCATGTTCATGCCTGTCTACCCTGCAGCCCAGTATTTCCTAAAGTGAGTAAGACCTCCCCTGGGAACTGATGGAACAATCCAGTGGGGCTACAAACGCTAATAATATCTACTCTTTATCCTGGATTGTAGGCTTTTATAGTACAAAAGTTTTTAACTACTGGTACGAGTGATTTTTTTGTTTTCTGGAAAGCTGTGGTTGGTTTGGAAGGCTGTGCTCTAACCTGTTGCTTCCTCTTCCCTCCCGTCCTCTCTAGTAACCACTAAAGACTGTTGTTTTGGATATGAAAGTATAATAGTGACCTCATACAGTATTTGTCCTTTGGTGTTTGAGTAACTTTATCCAGTACAATATCCTCCCAATCCATCCATGTCATGAGCTGTTTCACAGTTTCATCCCTCTGAGTATTGCTTTAGCTGTCTTCCAAAATTCTCATTTGTTTCAGTCCTTCTTTAATTACCCAGTGCTTTTTAAACAGCGTTTTATCCAAGTTCCACGGTTTTGATTTTTCCTTAGTCTTAATTGCTGGCGTCCAATTTCACAACATTGTGATTTGAGAGGATAGTTTATGAAATGTCATTATTTTAAAGTGTATTAAAGGTTGCTTGCTGTGCTATCTATACTAGAAAAGAATGGATGTTGTGCTCTTTGGTGGAGTGCTCTGCATATGTCTAAGAGATCAAGTTGATCGTGCTTAGTTCTGTATCTTTGTTGTTTCTTTCTAGCTGTTTTGTCCTTCCTGGAGAGTGGTGTGTTGAAGTCTCCTAGTATTGTAGTGTCGTCTATTTCTCTCATCAAATCTATGAGTTTGATGAATGTAGTGGAAGGTCTTTCATCGAGCACCTGGGCATTTATTAGTTACATTTTCTCATTCAGGTTCCCCTTTGATCATTACTGTCCTTATTTGTTTCACATAGTGGATTTTGCTTTGAAGTCTATTTTATAAAACTTAATCTTGCCACTCCCACGGGTTCTAAAATTTTCGTTAGCTTAATATATATATATTTTTTCACATCCTTTGATTTTAAGTCTATTTTTGTCTTTGTGTCTAAGGTGTGTTTCCTGTAAGCTGCATATTAATGGCTCCTGTTTTCTTATTTTTTCTGCTGCGCTCTGTTAACTGGTACATTATCCCTTTACATTCAGCGTTGTTATTGATAGCAGTTGTTACTGCTTTCATTTTGCGGTGTGTGTGTGCTATTTATGTTTCTATTCTCTGTTATTTTCCTTATATTTTGATGAATTTTACCCATTTTCTTAGAGGTTACCATTATTTTTTTCCCAAGTTTAAAACACTGTGCTCTCTTGAAATCTACTTCATTTTGCTCCTACATTATTCCTTCTATTTACTTTTTACCTATCTTCATTGCTGATTGGTATCTCTGGCTCCCTATAAAAATCACTTTTTTAAAAGTAGATAATTCAGTAGTGTTCATGAGGGGGCTTCATAAAGTTAAGGGGGAAAGTTCATTACTCTTTATAATTCTAGTTTTCCATGAACTTTTTGAAGCGCCCTCATATTCACCACTATCTAGGTCCAGAGCATTTTCCACCTTTGTCCCAACTGCTCTGAGCCCCTAGTATTTACTAACCTATTTTCCATGCTTATTTTGGACTTATAAATGGTATCATACAATATGTGGTGTTTTATGTCGGGCTTCTTAGGATATTGTTTTCAAGGCCCACCCATGTTGTATTTTCAATACTTCACTTCTTTTATTGACTAAATCATATTCTATTGTATGGATAACACCACATTTTGTTTATCTAGTTATCAGTTAATGGCCATTTAGGTCATTTCCACTTTCAAGCTATTAAGGATAGTGCTGCTATGAACATTCATGTGCACGTGTTTGAGTTGGACATACTTATTTCGTTTGCATATATACCTAGGATTAGAATAGCTAGGTCATATGGTAGCTATAGATTTTGAGTTCCTTTTTATTTTTTAATTGGGGGTACATTTTATTTATTTATTTTTAAATCTTTAATATATTTTTAAAACATTTTATTGAGATCTCTTACAGCTCTTGTAACAATCCAGGTATCAATTGTATCAAGCACACTTGTACATATGTTGCCATCATAATTTTCTAGACATTTCTTTTCTATTGAGCCCTTGGTGTCAGCACCTCTTCCACCACCACCCCCGTGTTCCTTTTGAGGAGCTGTTCATTTCCAGAACAACGGCATCATTTGATATTCCAACCAGCAGTTCATCTGTATTTTCATGTTCACTTTTTTTTTAAATTATAGCCATCCTGCTGTGTTTGAAGTTATACCTCATTGTGATTTTGAGTTGTATTTTCCTAATGACTATTGATGACTTTTTCCTGTGCTTATTGGCTCTTGGTATATCTTTGCTCATTTTAAAATTGGACGGCCTTTTATGGTGAATTGTAAGAGTTCGTTTTGTATTCTTGTAAAAACAGCATAGTGTAGGCTTAGTCTCCTATAATTTTATGAGGGGGAGAGAGGCATCACAGCATTAACTGTCGTGGGCTGTGCCTCCCTCCCTCCTCCAACCTTTTTACCACGTCTTATACCTACCGCCCTCCCATGGCACTCTCGACTGCTCTTGAGTTCAATAATCTATTACAGTAAACAAAGATGACTGAATAAAATATTATTCCCAATAAAAATAAATTATTATAGTGGCTGCATAGAACTTACAAACTCACATACTCAAAGTTACAAGGTTTATTAGGTTGTGGTTCATTGTTAGTGTTAGAAATGCAGTTGTGTGTTTTGTATGTTAACCTTGCACATACACGTGTTTTGATTTGACCGCTGACGTTTTGCTTTCTTTCACAGTTGAAACGGGTAGTCCTGTGCTTTCATTGTACTCTTATGAACAGCTTATCTCAGTCATATGTAAACTAACCTCATTATTTGACCAAGTTGGTTTTTTTTTGTTTTGTTTTTTGCAAGGGTTAACAAAGGAAACCATTTTATATTCCCTTATAGCTAGCATGATTTTCCTGCCACTATACATTTTCCTAAGCCTTACCAAAAAATGTATATAGCTGAGGACCAAAGCTCTAGAATCATTTTTTAAAAATAAATCATTATTGGGGCTCTTATAACAATCCATACATAATAGTATCAAACACATTTGTACATATGCTGCCATCATCATTTTCTATTTGAGCCCTTGGTGTATCAGCTCCTCTTTTTTCCCTTCCCTTTCCCACCCACCCTTGTGAACCCTTGACAAATTATAAATTATTATCCTGTTCATATCTTAAATTGTACGCTGTTCGAGATGATTGCATTTGGTTCCCTGTTTCTCCCCCCCCCTCCCCCCACCTTCCCCTTCCCTTCATGGTATCGCTACTCCCATAATTGTTCCTCAGGGGGTTTATCTATCCTGGATTCCGTTAGAATAGATTATCTGTTACCTTGAGATATTGATACCAAGAAAATAAAACCCACTGCCATCTAGTCAAGGCGGATTCATAGTGACCCTATATAGGGTTTCTGAAAGTGTATGTCTTTACAGGAGCAGACAGCCCAACTTTTTCCCTCAGGGGCAGCTCTTGTTTTTGAACTGCCAACCTCAAGGTTTGCAGCCCAACACTTAGCCCTCAGGTGCCACCAGTAATAGCCCCAAGTTACAAGATGCCACATAAAATCCCACAAGCTTAAAACTAGGGCATAAAAATCCAGTGGAAGCAGAATATTGAAGGCATTTCTTACTCATAAAATAGTATATTTAGGTCTCTCTCTCTCTCTCCCTCCTGTCTCTTCCCCCTGTCTCCTCTGCCTCTCTCTCTGTGTCTCTGTCTCTCTCCTCTGTCTGTGTCTCTGTCTCTCTCCCTCTGTCAATCTCTCTCGCCTCTGCCTCTCTCTCTGTGTGTCTGTCTCCTCTCTCTCTTCTGTCTCTCTGTCTCTGCCTCTCCCTCCTGTCTCTGTCTCTCTCTCTCCTGTCTCTCACCCCTCCATCTCTCTGTCTCCGTCTCTGTCTGTCTGTCTCTCCTCTGTCTCCTGTCTCTGCCTCTCTCTCTCCCCTCTGTCTCTCTCCTCTAACCTCTCTGAGTGTCTGTCTGTCTCTCTCCCTCTCTCTGTCTCTCTTTCCTCTGTCTCTCCTGTGTGTGTCTCTCTCCTGTCGCTGTCTCTATCTCACTCCCCTGTCTCCTCTGCCTCTCTGTAAAAAAAAAAAAAAAAAAAGTACATTTAAAGCCTTTTGCAGAGGCTTTATGGCCTGCAAAGCTTAAAATGTCTGGCCCTTCCTAGGTGACTTTTACAGAAAAAGTTTGCTGCCTCTGAAGAACAGGGTCCCTGCTGAGCATCACACTGTGCTTTGTGCTGGCTGGGGCCTCACTCCCCCCTGACAGGGAGATACTGTTACTCCCTGTTACACTCACAGAGCTGCCGTTTGAACCCCGTTCTGCCCAAATGTAAAGCCATGTTTGCTATAGAATACTTGTCCATGTGATTCTTTGTATATTTCCTTTTCTCAAGCTAATGATTATTCGTTTTAGTTTTAACCGCCTGGACCTGCCACCTTATAGGAGTTATGACCAACTGAAGGAAAAGCTGCTGTTTGCCATTGAAGAAACAGAAGGTTTCGGACAAGAGTAGCTGCTGAGAGTTTGCCCCACTGAAGGACAAGACAGCAGTATTTGTCCTCCCTCTTTGCCTATTGCACATCTTCTTGTCAATGGACCGTGACTGTTTAGAGAGTTATCTGTGTGTAAACAAATGAATGTTATCACTGAGATTTCTCTCCCAGTGATTCTGGATTTCTACCCAGCCGTTCCCAGAAATCAGATCTGCAAATGACTAGTCAAAGCCTTCTTAACTTGAGAGTTAACAGCAATGAACTCTGCCTTGTCTTATTCTCCTAGATTGTTTCCTTAACAATTTTGTATACTGTGTCAGAAGTCTCACTTGGGAGTAGTTTGTTTTTCTTTAAGGTTCTGCAACTATGCAGGGAAGTCCTTTGGTAACTACAATATGCAAGATCTTGATGTTAAGCCCCTTGGTTTAAGGGCATTTGTTAAAAGAACAAGCGGGACCCAGCTTCTGGGTCCCGGGGCTGACTCGGGCTTGTGCTCTCCCGCTCACTTCAGCCTGGAAGTGTGTTTCCTTTCTGAAGCGTGAATCCATGCAGCATTTTGATGTTACACCTGGAGGAGATGCAGGACAGGACTCTTGCATCTCTCTGCAAAGTAGCTTTGTCCATTCGAATTCAGGGAGCAGTTGGTCCCAGCCTGCAAATGACTTCATACTGCTCATTTGAGAATTTTGATTGTTTCAATTGCCTTGCAAATACTAAACTGTGCAAACAACATTAACACTGTGGTTCTATCACTGTTGTGTACACAAATTAACCTAGAATTGGGATTAATGTAACAGTTCCTCTCAAGCTACAGTGAATATTGGTGTTTGGGAAAAGAATACATCCTTATACTTTTGTCATAATCTACCTTTTGTTCTACATCAGTGATTCTCAACCTGTGGGTCCCGACCCCTTTGCGGGTCCGAACGACCCTTTGACAGTGGTCACCCGATTCATAACAGTAGCAAAATGACAGTGATGAAATAGCAACGAAAATTACTTTATGGCTGGGGTGGTCACCACCACATGAAGAACCGTATGAAAGGGTTGCGGCATTAGGAAGGTGGAGAACCACTGCTCTACATGATGATGACCAGGTAGCTCGGGGTGTAAGCAGAGTTGAGGGCAGTGAAACATGCTCGGCAGTGCCATTGCTGTGGGAGACTGTGGTACTACTGGCTGCCTAGTGCCCACAGCGCTGCATACCCCTCTCTGACTGGCTTCAGATATCGACTAATGCCCCTTACCTACAATATTCCTTTCACACTTAAAAGTTTTAGGTTTTCATCCATCCTTTTTACCACCACCCCACCCCTCCAGTACACCTTTTAACCTTAGACTGCTCCTTTAGTAGCCAGTTAATGCACTTTGAACTTCCCTGTACTTAATTTCTTTTCACTTGGCCTAACCTAGACTCTGTTGAGATGGCTCCTACCATGGATTTTACTGTACAGATTAGATTGTAGGGTGCAGCCAAGCCAGGGGAGTTAGCTGTCATGGCTGATCCCTGGGGACAGCCTCTGAACCCAGGACTCTAGCAGCTTTGAGTAGGATAGTACACATTCAGTCAATAGTAAACAGGAGACTGACTAATGAACTCCTCTTCGGTTTTGATTTGGTCCCCATTTAAACCCTGAAACCACAATTTATTTTATTTTTTAACCTTGTGCATCTATTTGAGACACTGCCATCAGAAAGCAGAGACGTGTGTGAATAAAAGGGCCGCCTCGTCCAGAGATTGTTGGTGTCAAGGGGGAAATGAGGCTCCCCCTAACTCTCACTGTACCTTTTATCTTACATAGCTTGGGAAATGTCGTATGGTCTCCAAAAGCCCTAGTTGTTTTCAAAGTCGGGACTCTGCCTTCTCACTGGCAGGGAGAACAGATGCTATTGCTTTGTCTACAGAGCGAATGTCTGCCACCAACCCACTCATCATATATGTCTGAACCTCGGTCAAACATGGCTGTGCAGATTAAGCCTTATAAAGATTTCTTCTTGAGGTGATTTCTCATATTGAAATGTAGTAACCTACAATAGTTACAAGAGATTTATGAGATTAAGTTAAGAGATAATGTAAGAAAGTAGCCTTTTGTTTTGTTCTACATAATGCTTCATGATTCATTTAGGGACCTAGAAATATCATGTGAAAATGTATAAATATCACCCAAAAGGCTTTCTGCCCTATATTTTTAAAATACAGAATAGTTATATTTGAATTAGCCCTGGCCCTAGTTCTATAGGGTTTGGCTATTTAATATTTTTATGGAAGAAACGTTTAGTTCTGGAAAAGGTAAATGCTTGTATATATTTTTGCAGCCTGGGATCGCCCTTACTCCATTTCTTCCTTTAATTTAATGGCCACATGTATATGTCTTCCCTGCTGTTTTAGGAAAATGGGGCTGGATATCCCAAGAATCAGAGACTATATAAAAATACGGCAAATATAGACAGACAAAAATATCTACCAAATGCTATCTTGAATTTTGGTCTAAAAGGAACATTTGGAAATAGATTTATTGTAAGTGTTAAACTAGCGATTTAGTAAATCAAAACTAAATTGTTTAGAGTCCTTTTTCTTGTAAGCATTGTAAATGCTAATAAATTCTGTTAATTTTTTTCTTTTTTATTGCATGTTTCATGGAAATAAAAACAAAGTGACAACTGCCTTCTTCTTCTGATGTTGGGGGATTGGGAAAGACGGCATTTTACAGCGTGGGTCCAGTGAAAGGACCTCATTTGGTTCATCAAATGGAATAGTTAAAACTGATCCAGCCGCCTAGATTAGTGATTTCCTGCTCATTTTTATGATCTTAGGACAAAGCGCAGACGAATCCTATTTCATAAGACTTACAATAACTCTATTAAAAGAATACATTTATCTGTGAATAACCTGAAGTGTTATGATGGGTGACTCATGGGTAGCTGAGTGAACCACGGGAATTAACTTGTCCTCTGCTCTCTATCCCTCCTTATTTGAGATGTAACTTCATCTAAACACTTTCAGGGTTTTATTACTTTTTAGTAATTGGTATCTCCAGCCCCCCATCCCACCCCTATTTTCTTTCCTTTGCGAGTTATTTGCAAAATGTGTGTATATGTGCTTTCATTAACTAAATGAACGGCAGCACTGGATTGTGTAATATTGTACCGGGGTTTCTTGTGTCCTTGGACTGTAATTTCAATGCTCAGGTAACTCTACAACTACCACAGGAAGTCACATGCTTTTATAAAGGTCCTCAAGGGGGCTGCCTTACTTGCATTTTTCTTACAAGACGTAAGACTATGTTTATAATTAAACGTTTTTGGTCCTTTACTTGCACACTTTTTTGTCTTGGGTGAAAAGGTGTTCCCTACCTGCAGAGGAATGGCCTTATGAGCAGGTGTCCGATAGATCCATGCCTATCTGCTCCTAACAATTATGCTCAGCCCTACTCTTCTAAATGCCTTCTCTTCCTAGCGAGCAGTCCTACATCATTGTCATTTAGTTCCAGGACAATTGCCAACATTCACTACTAAATGCCAGATACTGCAGCATCTCTAAAGCATTCTCATTTTGTCTTCTCAGCCACCTCAGAGAGGGATAATTATTTTGCAGATGAGAAAATACAAGCTCAGAGTGTTTGAGTAAGGTGTTGAAGTTTCCCGTGATGAGAGTATGGATTTGGATCTGGAACGATGAGACTCCAAAGCCTGTGATTAATGGCTCTGCTGAACTGCGGTCCACAAATCTCCACGGCCTATCCATTCTTCCCATCTCCTTTGGCTCCAAATCCTGTCACATCTATCTAGAAAACTTTTGAATCTCTTCCAGGTGCCCCCATCCCCACCCCACCCTCCAGCCTTTGCCCTAATTTGATTGACCACAGCAGTCTTCTATCTTCATTGCTTCCATCCTTTCCACTCCAGATCCGTCCTCTGCTAGTTTAGAGAAAACTGTGGCTGACCCAAGTGTCAACAACTCCCCTCTGCTTAAAATCATGGTTCCTCCATTACCAGAGAACACACCCAGGCCTGCCTGTCAAGACCCAGTAGCAGACGAGAATTATCGCCAGCTTTTTACCCATCCTCATTCCGACTCCATAATAGACAGGTGGCTAGCCTGTCTGGGATTGTGAGTTTGTTCAATTCTTGTACCCCTGCCTGCTTCTCCGAAGGTTCTCCGAATGAAGAGGATCACTGTTTGCCACTTGTTTCCGATTTAGGGTCTGGTCCCTCAAGCACTTCTGCTCCTTGGTACATGCTCTCCTAATGTTTCTAGCAGCCAGTGGTCATTGTTTTAATCCCATTTTTTTAACATTACTTTGAAATTTTAAAATGCACAGAGCTATTACAGAGAGAGCTAGCTCCTATACACCACTCACCTGGCCTTCCCCAGTGCTAACATCTCATGTAACCATGTTACTATGACCAAAACAGGACAATTAACATCAGTCAAAAATCACTCCCACTGAAAACTGGCCTTAGATTTCAACAGTGTTTCCTCCCATTTCCTTTGCAGGCCCAATCCTGGGACCCAGTGCTGCATTTACTTGTCACATCTCTAAAAACAACATTGTCTGCCGGCCCTGTAGGACAGGGGAGAACTGGTTCCCTAAAATGTCCAGGGCTATAGTCTTCACAGCACATTATCAACATCTTAATCCTGGGAGTGACCCTGTGGCTAGGAGGCAAATCCAAAGCTTAAGAGCATGCCACCTGGGCTCCTGCCTCATCGCCATCAAGGCAATTTAACTCCTAGTGACCCTATAGAGGAGGGTGGAACTGCCCTTGTGGGCTTCCTAGGCTATAAATCTTCGAGCAAGAGCTTCATCTTTCTCCCACAGAGCAGCTGGTGCATTTGAACTGTTGACCTTGTGGTTAGCAGCCCAATGAGAAGCCTGCTATGCCTGGGGCTCTGTCTCCAATCACTCGCAGCCCATCATTCTCTTTCATGACCTTGACATTTTAAAGAGTACTTGACAGAATCTCAAGCAGCTCTGATGGCACTGTGGGATCCAGAAGCCCTGCTTCAAGGGCAGCAGTTCAAACTTGGCAGCCAATTCTTGGAAATAAGAGGCTGTCTGCGTCCACAAAGGTTTAGGTTCTGGGGGTTGCTCCAAGTTGAACAAGCCAATGGCAATAGGTTGGTTTGTTTGACTTTGGTAAGGGCAGGGAGCAAAGTTGGTAGTTGAAACCCAAAGCTTCTTGGGAGAGGCTGTCTGTGCCCACAAAGATTCCTGTCTGGGGAACCCTGAAGAGCAGTTATATGCTGCACCATAGGATCACCAGACTTGGAATCTGCTCAGGGGCAATGAGTTTGGTTTGGTTAGGGCTTGATGTTTTTGTGGGGTTTTGTGAAATGTACCACAGAGAAGCTACACCACTCTAAACCACCTATTGAGGGGCACGTGATATCAATATGCCCTGTTATCAGTGATAGTCCCCATGTGAAGATGGTTTCCGTCATGTTTCGTCACCAAAGTCGCTCTCAACATGCAGACACCCCTGAAAGCACTGAATCCCCATGTAGACAGGCTATATCCCCTTGTGCCTCAATTCTAAACATATAGTAGCCCTACAGGACAGAGGAGGACTGCCTAGTGAGCTTCTAGGGCTGTAAATCTATGAAAGTAGACTGTCCCCTTGAGGGGGCTGGTGGGTTCAAACTGCCCACGTTTTAACCTGCTCCACTAGGGCTACTCGAGAGGCTATACAAAATCCAATCCCACTAACTATTCTGTCTACTCATTGTGATCCTATATTCCAGACTAAATCTTTTTAATGCGCCCTTAGCCTCATTTTTCTCCAGTTGAGTGGCTAGTGGGCCTTGAACCACTGACCTTGTGGTTAGCAGCCCAAAGTCTAATTCTAACGGCTCCTTAGAGAAGCTGTAATGGACTGGATATTTGCTGTCAAATATGTGTTCAATTCTGCCAGTTCAATGCCATCGAAGAAATATTTATAAAATGGGGTGCTAAATGGCAGCGTTTTAATAACATTTCCTCGACCAACCCGAAAATTATGTGACCTGGGGGAGTGAAAGGAGCCACTGTAGAGTTCTAGGAAGGTTTTAAAGGTGAAAAAACTGAAAACAGGTATGTGAAATGACTTCTCCAGGATGAGGAGCGGGTGAGGCGAGACTCGCATTAGCCTTGATCACTTATCTCAGAACTTAACACACAAAAGTTCCATTTCTGGGGACCCCAGAGACACCTGGCACTAGCTCCAATCCCAGGCTGTGTCAGCACATTTGGCTCATTCTGTTAGCAAATTTCAGCACTGCCTGTTCTTCCGTTCTTCCCCAGAGGATCTGGAAGTGTAATAGCAAAACCGTGACTCGGGAATGACCAGGAGAACTTGGAAAGAGGAAAAAAATAGCCGGCGACCCAGAGGAACTAGCATGCCAGATCTGGGCCCCAAATGGCAGGCGGGCATAGATGACTGCTATACTTTGACTGGCAGCGGAGGAGGGGTTCTCCAGTACCGGGACCTGGCCGTTTGGGACTGATGTAGTGGCTCTGGGGGATGATATGCTTCAGGAATGTGGCCTTCCAAGGGGTGAGGCAGCGCGTTGGGTTTCTTTTGCATTCCCCATTTAGGATTTTCCTTATGGGGCCAGCTCAGATCTCAGCTCAGAGTGTTTCAATTCCTCGCCTGAGACCACGAACCAGCATCTTTTTCGGCACAGCCAGGATTGGAAATTTCCCGTAGCTAAACTGCCGCTCTGCTTTTCGCTTTCGGACAGCGCAGGGCGAGTTCCCCGGGAGCCCTGAGTGAGCGGGTGGAGATGCGCCCGCCCACCCGCTCCACGCTGGCTCTGATAGGTTGTTGGAGCCGTCTGTCTTGACAGGGACCTGTGCGCAAGCGCGGAGAGGCCCGGAGCCTGGGCGAGTGCTGGCGACGCGGAGCTGCAGGATCGCTTCGAGATGGTGAGTGTTCTCTTCAAGCTTGTACCTGGGGGCTGGACGCTAGTCGGCCACGTTGGTCCAGCCACCCCGCTCTCGGCCACGGCCTGCGGGCCCTCCAGACGCCGAGCGGGCAAGCCGCGGGGCGGGGCCGGGCCGGAGCCGGGCGCAGGGCGGAACCCTGGCGGCGCGGCTCCAGGCCGAGGCGGAGCCGCCGGATCCCACCGGCCTTAGACCGGAAGCAGGCGCTCGGCGCTCGCAGCCCGTCTCGGGCGGGCTGTCAGGCCACGACGACGACGTCTCCTGGAAGCTCAGTGTGGGTGAGGCCCTGCTGAGTACCGTGCATCCCTTTCAGCCTCCCCCAGCCCACCATTATCCCCACGTCACGTCCGGGCGGCCGGGGCCCTCCCTGGGAAGTGGTGGACGGAGCTGGATTCGTTCCCGCCCCCACGAGTCGCCTCGCCGACGGCACGTCGCTGCCGCGGGGACGGGGCTGAGTCACCGGCGCGGGCCGCCTCGGAAAACCTCAAGGCTGCTGCAGCTGCTTTGTTTGGAACGTTGACAACTTGCAGATAACTGTGAAAGACCTTTGGGTTGAGAAGTGTGCCTGTTCAAGCATTTCAAGAATTTCAAGCTTTTTTATTTTTTAGCAAATGGAAAACCAGACCTATTACTGAGAGGCAACCACTTAGAATTAGGTATCTCCGGTCAGCAGAAGGCTTTTGCTTTCTGTGGTTTGTCTTCAGCTGAATGGAAAGATGAGGCTGACTGCTCCGAAAAGCTTTGCAGTCTGGGAAACAAGCCTTAATAGAGTGAGTGAATTGGAATCGGCTGGATGGATAGCAGGGTTAGAAGGATGTATGTACCATTGCGGGCCCTGCTTTCCTTCCTCAAGGTTTAGTTCTTGGCTGAAAGAGCCCCTCTGTAGATGTTCTGATCACACTAGCCGAGATAGCATCTCAACCCCTTGTCCTGCCTGAATCTTTTTGGGGGTGGGGTGGGGTGTGTGTGTGTGTGTTGGGGGTGGGGGGTTGGAGGTGTGTGTGTCCCCTTCCACCAGAAGGTGAGCTGTCTTCAAGTAGGGACCCAGCTCTTCTCTTGATCTACTACTGAGTGGTCTTGGGGAAAACTCTTCCAGGGTGTGTGACTCAGGTAGGGACCAGGTAGAGTGTAGATCACTGTATACTTCCCTGCCTTTTGCCTTTTAAGCAGCAAGATCTCAGTGGCTGGTTCTCATGAAACTTCTGAGCACCTAAACAAACAATAGATTGCTGAACTTATCTGGCCTACTGCCCCCTTTTCAGAAAGAAGAAAAAGTTACTCA